CGCCGGTAAAAGGCAAAGTGAGCAGGACTGTGAACTCCAGGAACAATGCAGAAGTGTTGGCAGGCATCGACTTTCTGTGGGTAATAGCTTTCTGAGATCCAGTGGAGTAGCTTATCTTGTTTCCCTCGAGCATTTGCCATTCTTGGATGCACTGGTAGGGGCTATGCATTCAGTGGAACGTAGTCAGTGTCGAGAGCAAAAGGAATATCGAGAAGCCAACGCATCTCAGCCCAACGTTGATCCAAGTGGAAACCCTCTATCTTTACTTGACCAACAATTGCTATGCGTGCAGAGGTGCTATCGAGAGGTATCTCATCTCTTTACCATATCTTCCAGAGCCTGGGTCAAATCATTCTTTTAGCGTGATGCTTATTTTTTTTCCGCCTGTGTTCTCATACATGACCGCCGCTGAGTATGGATCTAACTTAGGGGCTGTTCAGGTCACAGGCTGGGGTCCGGCCCGCTCTGCCAAAATATGGACCTTTGGTCGATCAGAGGCTCCAAAACTGAACCTACGGTCCATATTTTGGCGGGTGGGCCCCTGTCAGCCCCAGCCCTGACCCATGGACTGAACAGGCCCTAAGTTAGTAAGTTATGTCTCCCTCAGTGACTCCAAGAATGACACCGGGCAATACAACAGGGCACGGTTAGTGGCCTCTCAAGTCACTCTTCAAGCTGTCATGAAGACGCCACTTTTCCCTCCACCATTTGCTCACATGATTATCACATGTTCTTTTCTCACGGTCACTTACTATACATTCTTATTTCTCACGATTCCCTTTCTTAACCTACCATCGCACAGCTTTAACCCACATCGCGCAGCCATCCCATTATCTCATATCGACTCATTCCTTATTCATCCTTGACTCATACTTACTCATACACGACTCATAGGTAGCCACTCCAACTCCAGCTCTGACTGTAGGATAGATATATAAGCTAGCTAGTCTTCACCTGGTCCCTCATCTTGACCTCTTGTCGTTGGGACCAGGTGAGTAGTACAGTCTCCTTCACTTTCCTTCTGTACAATAGATCTAACTTGTCGTTGGGACCAGTTTCTGCCTTATCTCAGTCTGAGTCAAGCCCACTGCTCCTCTCCAAGCCTGCTACCACCACTCTCTGCCTCTGCTGTCTCTGATGGATGCTCAGCACTTCGTGACACAAGCAAGGGCAAGGTTCAACGGTTGAGAGTCAAAGGTTAAATATCAAGGGTCAAAGGTCAAGTGTCGAGGGTCAAAGGTCAGGTGTCAAAGGTCAAGGGTCAAGGTATGCTTTCACTGGTGTATTTACCAAGTTGTTAAGCTGAGGAAAGGTTGTATGTACATTGGGTTTATATACTGGAATCTGTCTAGGTCCAGAGTCGCTCTGAGTTGCGCTGAGTCACGGGTGTGTGAGTTGTTTGTAGTTGGACTGAGTTGTCGTGGGAGTGGCTGTGAATATTGTGTGAGTCGTTGTGATATGGTAGGGCACGGCCAGTGTCCTCTCAAGTCACTCCTTTAAGCGAGGGCGAGGTTCGAAGGTCGAGAATCAAGGGTCAAGTGTCGAGGGTCGAAGGTCAAGTGTCAAAGGTCGAAGGTCAAGTGTCGAAGGTCAAGTGTTAAAGGTCGAGGGTTACGGTGGGCTTTCACTGGTGTATTAACCAAGTTGTTAAGCTAAGGAAAGGTTGTATGTACATTGGGCTTATATACTGGAATCTGTCTAGGTCCGGAGTCACTCTGAGTCGTGCTGAGTCGCAGGCGTGTGAGTCGCTTGTAGTTGGACTGAGTTGTCGTGGGAGTGGCTGCGAATGTCGTGTGAGTCATTGCGGCTGTTCGTGTATTATGACTCGGGGTGGCATGTGGAGATGTCTGCTGGGCATGGTCTGGAGCTGTGGTCTGGATGCATAGTTCCACTTACTCCACGGAGTCGTCTATAGAGATGTTTTGAATGAGTGGGAAAGGTGGGAAGGGATAGGTGAGTTGGGTAGGGAGAGGCGTCTATATGGGCACTTGTTGATGAGAATAGAGGTGAATCGTAACACGTTGCAGCTGTTCGTATGTTATGACTTGGGGTGGCATGTGGAGATGTCTGCTGGGCATGGTCTGGAGCTGTGGTCTGGATGCATAGCTCCGCTTACTCCGCGGAGTCATCTATAGAGTTCTTTGAATGAGTGGGAAAGGTGGTAAGGGGGAGGTGAGTTGGGCAGGAAAGGGTATCTGTATGGGCGCTTGTTGGTGGAAGTAGGGGTAAATCGTAACACTGGGATTTACAGTTATTCTTGTATAATGAGACTCGCAAAAAAAGGTTTCAAAAGTCCCAAAAAGAAGAACCAACCTCGACCCCTGTCCCGATGTTGGAGGCGACCTCTTGGATCTCGCGTCGCTGCTGACACTACCGTGAGCCCCAAAAGCCTCACGTACATTGTAGACTGTGTACACTCATCGCAATGGCATATTATTGGCATGATATCCATATATTGAGCAAAAAATGGAGGAGAGGATCCAGATGAAAGGAGGAAGGACAGGGATCGAGCGGTGTGAGCTGGTGATGGCGTCACTGATCGGTGTGGAGGAAGCAGTGAGCCCCTGTCAATTACCCATTTGGGATATGACTTCCAGCTCTGTTTTCTTTAAATTTTTTTTGGTGAGTCTCATTATTTACAGGTATTACTGTAATCTAAGTACAAGTTTCCCAAATCTCGGACAGAAAGGCCCAATGATCTTAGCTCACCTATACTAGTAACTAAACAGGGAATAAAGATCACATGTGTGCCCTGACTGTCTATACCATTATCGTTTAGTTACTAGTGGTAAACATTATCACGATTCACATTCGAGAGGAGAGATGAATTTTTCTCATTTCGCATGAACTATCTAGAGTCGTAGTTTACTGTTTACCTTCTCGTCTTGTGATAGCAGATTTCCTTTACCGCTACCTCGAGAGTGCAATCCCAACTGAAGGTCAAATAGAATGTATTCCCATTTCCAGTTGTTAGCACCGTAGATATTGACTAAGACGACGATCGAGTAGGGTTTATGCAAAGGTACTTATGAGGCGGTAGAGTATGAGGGGGAAAAGGAATGGATAATGGATCATCAACACAGAGTTTAGAACCCCAGAATCCGAATGTGCATAACATCACATACCATAACATCAATCAAAGCTAAAGTGACTCGAAATTGGCAATCGAGGCAGGTGCATGAGTTTATGGAATGCAGGCAGGATAGAAGAATACCCCAGAAACGCAAAGCAAGCAAATTTTTAGTTTCACTTCACTGTCAGCGAACGGAAGAAGACGGCGGCAGGGGGCTCGACGACCACGACGTAAGGTTCAATCGCCGAGAGATACCAGAGAGGGGATCGAGCGCGGAGAACGAAGGAATTTCTGTCCTATGAGGAACACGGAAGGGCGATGAAGCTTGAAGCTTGAAGGTCGACTGCCATCGTCGAGAAAGAGTTCAACTCACGAAGAGTCCTCACGCCGTTCGCTTGTTCGCCGTCCTTAACCTTGGGGTTAAAACCCAATCAGTGTGAGGGCTTGGAGAAATAACAAAGTGGTAGGCGTACCATAACCAGAGTCCGGTGTCATCATCAACCTGAGTACCACATCGATCCCGTAGTCGGACGCTCCTCAGAGATAATTCAGGTACCGAGGACTTGAAGACTGAGCATCGAGTCAGAATCGAGAAAATAACGGATTGAGGGCGATCCGAGACGTACCGAAGTCCAAGCTTAAGAGTAAGTTCGAGGCTACGAAGGGATGCCCGTAAGGGTGAAAGGGGGAGGACCATCGACCGGAGAGGCTTGGCGAATTTTGGCTAGCTTTGCTGCGTTATCGAAAAATTTCGTTTTGCTTCCGCTGCGAAGATTCGGTGTTGATCGTCAAGACGAGCACCAGTAGTGTGTACTATACGTACAGTCAATTCGGGTGTCGGGTGGAAACGGATTGAAAGAGCTAGAAACCCACCGACGGCCGAAGATGAGCATGATGAAGGGATTAAGCAGTCAGAGCCAGATATCATCGGTTCAGCTCCCCCGATATCGACGACACACGTTGTTTTGCCTTCTTCCAGGTGTTTGCCATCATTGTTCTCGTCACGAAACTCAGTCAGTATCGAGGGTATAGAGAAAGAATCAGAATCAACACATACTGAACTGCAACTTCCAATGTTCAAATTGAACGTTTCATTCAACTTGGACCTAGGGCCCAAACTCTAATCGATTATCAAACGATTTCGAGATAATTGCTGGCGCCATGGATCGTGGGGCTTGCAATGAATGAAGGTTGGGGAAAAGAAAAGAGGGTGGGAAGATTCTCCATCTGACCGAAGAATCCAAGCGAAGAAACGCACAGACCATCTTGAGGGGCGGTCAATCAGCCTCTCTATCTAAAGATGCGGACTCGGAGAATTCGGATCAACCGTTACAAGCCAATGTAACTCCGAGTTGGGAAGGTACTAAACCATAGTTTAGGTATGATAAAATGAGTAGTAAGCGGACTGCAATGCGAGAACCAGGCTTGCATACTCCTTCAGTCGTTGGATTCGCTCCGCCATCGCATCAATGTACCCATCCGGCCGAGCTACAAATATCTAAACTGAACAGACCATTTATGTCCACACGGTACTGCTCGAAAGCGTAGCCATCCTTGTCGACTAAACGCGATGAGTTCCTGCCTCAGAAGCGGTGAGAAAGGACTAAGACCGAGGGTTAAGGACAATCAATTGGGGCCTCCTCTGAGGGAACACCGGAACCGAGGGACCAAAAGCATCGTAAAATTGCCACCGTCAAGTTGTTCTCCAGATTCACGAACCCCGGAGCCGATCCCCACCTTTGAGTTTCCCATCCGAGTCTCTAATCGCTTGATATTTTGTCACCAAACCTGTGGCTGAATCAGAGCGGTTTTGTCAGTGCACATTTTGGCATACAGTTACGTCTTCCGACATCTGGACAACGATCATCATCTCGCACAACCTCGAGGATCCCGAGTTGTAGAGCTGCATCGGTTGGACCTGTCAGAAGCATCAATGGGGTAGCGGTAACCTGGGTCGTTGCCATCACGAGACTGCCAACCCGCTGGGGGCTCGATTCCCTCTTGATGCAATCCAGAAGAAAACAGTTCTTTTCGGTTTCCCTTCCTTCTCTTGTGTTGACCAAATTTTCGTATGCTCTAATCATTGTTTATTGAGGATCTGTCTCTCCTGTATTATCAAGATCAATTTAAGAATACCACCGGAGTTTGGATTTCGTTGCTAAGGAGGCGTCATCCCACGCGAACGAATAGAGATCACACTCGTAGAAGCAAGGCCGTATCCAAAACCGCACGGGAGAAAATGTGCTCAAGCTGTACTGATAAATGCCCAGTCTACATTATAAGACGCCTGGTTCGATGGCGTAGTTGGTTATCGCATCTGTCTAACATATGTTGCGTCGACTGTTGATTGCACAGAAGGTCCCCAGTTCGAGCCTGGGTCGAATCATTCCTTTAGAGCGCTACTTATTTTTTGCTGCCCCCTCTGTACTTATATATCGAAGGTTCTGAATTTCGGAGTCTATTCGGTTTAAAACTGTCGTTGTGGCACCCAGGACCACATCGGGACTCTGATATAAATATCTCTCAAACAGTATTGCGGAGCTCCAGATGACAAGACCTGAGATTCAGACCCACTCATACGTCTAATCAATTCGTGGATATAGGTTACGCATATGCACTCAGTAATACTATCTCCGTTTCAGCAACTTAATATCCATATCCGGTAACTGCCCACGCGACGCCTATAGCCAGAGGGATTTCGTGCGTATATTGATGCACGCCAATATAAGATACCATCTCGGCGGCCAGATACTATAGACCCTACACCAATACTCGTTGATTCTTTGAGTCTTTCGGACTCTGTTAAGGGGGGAAGTGACGAGACCGGGAAACTTGGGAATGATGTCTGTCAATATGTGCAGCCTGTCGTTCCACATGGTGTTGGTCCCTTGTCCTCCAATCTCGTCCCACGGACTCGATAAAGCAAGGAGACTGTTTCCATGAGCTTCTCAGGCTAGAAGGCACGTCCTTAGACAGTGAGAAATCCAATGCTGAGGGACTACGGCTTACCCGTGGCGAATTTAGATACGGCGAAAAATCCGTAAAATGTTCAATTTCCGAAATGTATACTGTTGCCTACCAGCTACGCTACGCATAACGCTAACTTCAGAAACTAGTGAATACAATTACATGTATGTCTTGTTGACATTCAGTTTGTTCATTGTTATTTGATCCGCCCATTCCTCCCAAAATTTCTCCATTTTCTTTCACCATTTTGAACAGTCCCAGTAGTCGGACTGGAAGTTGTACTCCCATCTCCCGTCGTAGGATTCGCCCATAAGGGGTTATACTGGGGCGGTAACGGGCCAGCGTCCACTTCGCGGGCCGGTGGAGAGGCTGCCGTAGTGTTTGACGGAGAGGTTGGCGGAGAGGTTGTGGAGGGTTTCGAAGAAAACACTGCAGACACGTGAAATATGATAAAGGCTTGCTCACATGCAGCGCAGAGTAACGAAACAAGAACATACCGTCTTTGAAGATGCCCATGTAAGGCGTGATTATTGGGGTCTGCGTATTTTCGGCCCTTTGTTCCGAGTAAGTGTTAAGTTCACCCAATGGACGGAAGCCGTACTTTCTACGAAACCAGAACGCCCCTGCGCCAACTGCTGCCAAAAAGAGGATAGGGGCGATGACCTTCGGGATGGTAAGCTTGTCTGGATGGGCTAAGGTATGCGGGCCATAGTAACTTACTATCGCAGCAATGTTTCCCGATGTTAGATGACGATGATGCCCTTCATTCATAGACGACGGCACGGGCTCCGGGGTCGGTAGTGGTGGAAAAGGCGAGCCTCTGCAAACAAGAAGAATAACCAGACCGTTGAGCAATCTCAATTCTCGAGTCAAGGTTTTGCATACCCGTCTAACAACTGCAATTGGTTGAAAGCCAACTTTTGTTGGTCAGTAGCAGCCGAGATGTCCACAGTGTAGGAGGTTCCCCAATCGAGCCCGCTCTCCCAGTACAGTATCTGCTGAAACTCCCCGTAGGGACCAGTATCGTACATAAACGTTTCTTTGATGCCCGTCGGGTCGCTAGATCCTGGTCTTGGGGAGATTGTAATCCGCTTGACAGGATGATCTTTATAAATCGATCCCCAGAGAATAAAAGTACCAGCAGAAGTCACGTTAAATCTGAGGCTGTCGTTACGTCCTTTGGTGGCCATTTGACGGGTGACGGGGCTGGTTGTACCGTTGGGAAATGTTACTAAGTCAAGACGGGTGAAAAAACGCTACAAACTTTGAAGCAACGGATGGGGGGGCTTACTGGTTGCTATACCACTTTCGGGTGCCCAGCCTGAAGAGTCATTCTTAAAGTCAAAGTACGGGTTAGGTTCATTTGGCCCCAAGACTGCTTCAATTGTGCTGTTCTTGATCTCCTTCCTAAGTCCGACCGTTCGTAAGATCTTTGTTAGTGCCGAGGCAGATAATCGTGCTCACCCCGGATAACCCAATCCAATGGTAAGGTCAGCATACTGAAACGCCACCATTTCTCGCCCGACTACCTTCAATGTTGCGTTGTGTTCCTTATACTGCATCCCGGTCATACTTCCCAAAAGTCCCCCTTGCTGGACGTTGAAGGTCTGACTGACGTTCTGCCCATCCACAGAGAAACTGTATGAATCTCTTGTGCCGGTACCATACACGTAGATTGCTGTTCCCAACCAGTTGAAGGATATAGATGCTCCTGCCTTGGTGGAGTTGTGAAAGTCGGCTCCTCTTCCTTGTCGTTCATAACGGCCGTTGTCAACAATGGGGTAAGCAAGTTCCCACCCATCGGACGCATCGGTGTGTGCGCCTCGAGGAGGCGAATAAATAAGGGAGGCTGTCTGGGACGGGATTGTCAGGTTGTAGGGTTGAAGATCTACCATGCTGTTCAAAGCTCCACTTGAGAAATGAGAGATGAATTAATAAGAGAAGCAACTGAATTATTGCTTGTTTCAGCATAAGGCAGTTCAAGTGGCACAAGGCCTCGCATCATGGCGGGTAATATAAGTGCGAGCTGGTGGACCCCATCCCAAGGTTTTGTTGACCAAACATCTTGCTGATGAAATCAAATTCCAACAGTGGAGAGGGGATGATTAGGTTTATAGGTTGCCAATTGCAGTACTCGGTTATTATCTCCCCCGTTCCATAGGGCGATCCCAATCTTCTTGAAACAGCTCCAGCAATCATAGGCTAGCAGAGTCTAGCCAAGTCAATTGGTGGTAAGATTGAGACAAAATAATGGAGGGTAACAGCCTGCACCAGAACTATCTCCTTGATCACACACCTCCCCTTCTCCCACTATATTTCATAAAGGGCAGTGGCTCCAATCATCGTGCTGTTACTCGGCTTCCAAAGGAAGTGGATATAATCTCTTGCGGGAAAAGACTGCAGCAGTGCTGTGGATGGATGCATCTCCCATCACTGATCGGTAGACAGTTAGGGTGTCAGATGATATCCAGAACCGAAGGTGCAACGCGATGTCGTCGCATTGCAACAGAAGCCCCCCCCCCCTCTCAAAGCTTCAGCCGACTCGAGACGCTTGTAATCAAAGAACGTTGCACAACTAACATGAAAACTGCTAGCAATGGTTTTTCACGGTGGTAAAGAATACACAGACATAGTCCTGTGATTGTTCAATAGAATAACATCAAGTTATTTTCAGCCACATATTCGGGATGACCATCCACTTGGAAGTCCTAACCTTAAGCACAGAAAGGAAAGGGTAACATCGGGAGCCGCGCCGCAACCATTATCCCGAAGTGATTGTAGCAACTCGTGAATGGCAATAGTGAAGCCCAAGCAGATCAAAATGGATCACAGCTTAGTGTGCGCCTTGTCGTTATCTTCTGTGGAGGGGTACGGGTCAGTCTTGATGATGCAATGAAATTTGAAGGTTGATGTCTCACCTGAAATGTTTTGTCAGTAAGCACAAGATTGAACTCGAAGCCATCGCCGACTTACTCAATATGTCAGTGCCACCTGTACTTCTGTAGGAGCTCATGCTATGCTTGAGAGGGCTACGAGTTTACGACAGGTGGTTTGAGAAGCCGGAGCTCGCGGAATAGGTCGAAGCATACACCGTAATGAAACCTGTACATACTGGATGTTGTCTCGTTACTGATAGAACAATTTTGAAACGCCGAAACTAGAGCACGCAAACGTACCGCTGTGCTTCAATTCTTCGACCTCCTTTGCCTCCAAATCCTTGTCCTCAACAATTCAATTCAAGATGGCTGATGTTTATGTGATGTGGTTAAACCCACCTGAGTCGATCTCACTGTGCCTCAGAGCCCTCAATATACAGCAACTCCATCCTATAGCATAGAAACGAGCTCGAATATGCCTTACACAGAAGGTCCCCAGATCATGCCTGGGTCGAATCATTCTTTTTACGGCGTCGCTTATTTTATTCCTCCTCCGTTCTCATACACGACGGCCACCGAGTATGGATCTGAGCGTCTCCCTCAGTGACTCCAAAAATGACACCGGGATTTAGATATACAAGTATCCCATACTTCAGACGCCAAAAACTGTGATATAGACTCACCGATACCATTCACTAAATCTAGACCACACATGTCCCACCCCCAATATCTCCGTTATGGTGTCGTGGCTAATATTATCGCCTCTCATGAGTCAGACGTTGCTGAATCGCGATAGCCCAGGGTCGATTGCCCATAACGGAAACTTTCGTGACAAGAATTTGATTTTTCTCTTTTTCTCATTTCGAATGAACTAAGTATCTACAGTATTCCCATTTCCAGTGGTTAACACCGTAACGACTAGGACGACGAAAAAATAGGGTATATGCAAAGAGATAAGACGGCCAAAGTATGGGAGAGGGAGAAGGAATAAAATAATGACACAGAATTTAGAGACCCAAAATCCGAGTGTGCATAACATAACCTAACATCAACCAAAGTTGAAAAGACACGATATTGAAGGCAGGTGCATGGGTTCATAGAACGCAAGCGGGATAGAATCATGGAGGTAAGCCCCAGAAACGCAATCAAGCGATTTTCAGTATCCACTCCACTGTCCAGTCCTTCGAGCGAACGGAAAGACGGCGAGATAAGGCCCAATCACCAAGAAATACCAGGGAGGGGATCGAGCGCGGACAACAAAGAGATCTCTGTCCTGCGAACAAGACGGGGGGAACAAGAGGTAGTGTATACTATCCTTAGTCTATGTAGACGGAGGCAAATGGCAAATTGAAAACATTGTAAACAATGAATATCGGCTGTCACCGTTAAACTCACGAAGAGGTCTGAGGAGTACATTGAATATCATGATTTTGCCTTACTCAAATTGTTCGCTTGTTCACCGTCCTTGACCTTGGGGCTATCCGACAGTCAGTGTCGCGGCTTGAGAGAAAAACACGAAGTGATAGGCGTACCATAATCGACG